AATATTTCATTTTATTTAAAGTGTGACAAGTATTTCAAGACATGTGTAAACAAATATGTTATATTCAACACAATTATGTCTAAAATTATTACAAGTAAGAAGGTAAAAACTAAACCCATGCTTTGGATCATTTAAGGGGTCATTCCACTTTAACAGCCCTAAAACTATGTTCATCTTTAACAATTGTTTTCACAGTGAATACACCACACGATAAAATAAATCTTTTTGGGATTTATTAGGGCACTCTTAGGTGACACAAAAAATTTTGTCATTATTTTAACAATTTTTGAATTAAGCATTTTCTACACTGTGCAAATGGCGTGTCAAAAAGATGCAAGTCCGCTGCGTTGATGACTCTTATCATTCAGACTTACCTGAAACAAAAATCAAAAAGATTCTTAATCTATACGAGTGTTGTCGCAATGTACCAAACCTCCTCAAATAATCATTTTTATTTAAAAGTAACGAAATGGTAGCAGTTTAAAAAAAGTTGTAGAAAGTTTTAAAAAGAACTTTTCGTCAAACTGGCACCATTTTGTTATTTTTAAATGAAAATTATTAATTGAGGTGCGGGAAATAGCGACACTTAAACTACACTGGCTTGAAATACAACGGTTAACTTTTCTGTAAAGCAGAATATTCTTGAACGCGTGAATATTGTAAAACTTGGTAAATTTCGTGTTATAAAGACTCGACTAGTGTCAGTTTTTTGCATATTTCTGTGAAGCAGAATATTCTTAAATGCGTGAATATTCTAAAAATTGGTAAATTTCGTGTTAGAAACCCATGTAGAATCACAGTTTTTGCATATTTCTGTAAAGCAGAATATTCTAGAGTGCGTGAATACTCTAAAACTTGGTAAATTTCGTGTTAGAAACCCATGTAGAATCACAATTTTTGTATATTTCTGTAAAGCAGATGTTGGCGATTCTCTTTTGGGAGAGCTCGCTGGACCGCTGCGGATGGAAGCAGGGTGAGAGGGCCTTGCGGCGAGAGACTCGGGGAACGGATGCACGCGTGCGAGGGTAGTAATCACGTGATCGAACACTCTTGGCGTTTGAGTAAAATACCGTGTCAGTTTAATAAGTATAAAAGCTTACAGTTTGGTAGTCTATGAGATACCGGTGGATGAAAAGTCTCGTAATCACTTGCACGGGTCGATAGTATTTATCTAAAGCCGGCCTCGTGAATGCGGATGCCCGTGAGCCGTGTCCACGCTACGCCGGCGTGCGAAGCGTGGTGAGCTTGCGCTGCCGGTGATGCTGTATCTTATGTCCTGAATGTGTAGCACTGCGAAGTGTTCACTGAATGTTCACACTGAGGGCGTTTTCCAACAAGGACACAATGCGACACAGTGTAACACTGTGAATCATTACATCCTTGTTGTTTGCCAATGTTAAACAAGGATGAAACGATTCACTGTGTTACACTGTGTCCTTGCTGGAAAACGCCCTGAGTCAGTTCTCGGATGAGAAAGTCCACCAGAGCACTACTAAGATCTTCTGCACTTCACGACGCGTGTACTATGTATCGTAGCCATGAGCGAAAAGGTGCCGGTAACGGACGTGACGAAGCGCCGTCGCCTCGAGTCACGATCGGGCATGCGCGCGCAGCGCTCCTGCGGCACTGCACGATCCGACCGGCTGATGCTGCCATCACGCCGGCAACGAACTGACCGAGATTCAGAAATGAATCCGGGACATTCCGCCCGCCATCAGCAACGTAGTTGATGATCCCTGATGTTATGATGAGATTGGCAGGACGGAGAGCTTGATCACTGGTCGGATGAGAGTGGTAGTGGCTGTCTTCAGAGTCACCACCCGCACGAGACCATCCTTCCCAGGATGTAGAGCCGTGATCCGGGCTAACGGCCATTTGCATGGCGGTAGCCGCTCGTCGGTGATGAGCACCAATGACCCGACCTTGATTTCGTTGTTCCTGTGGTGCCACTTTGAGATGGCTTGTTGTCGTTGTAGGTAATGCGCTGCCCAGTGTGTCCAGAAATGTTGTGCCTTCTGCTGGATGAGCTGCCATCGAGAGCGTCTTGAGATTGCCAGGTCGGTGAGTGAGGGCTCTGGTATGGCGGTGAGCGGACTTCCCACGAGGAAGTGACCTGGCGTGAGTGCTGCGATGTCGTCTGCGTCGTCACTCAATGGTTCGAGAGGACGCGAATCGAGAATTGCCTCAATTTGAGTGAGCAATGTGGTGAGCTCCTCAAAGGTGAGCACGCTTTCTCCAATGGTCCGCCGTAGGTGGTACTTGATGGATTTGACGACGGCCTCCCATTTTCCTCCCATGTGAGGTGTCGCTGGGGGATTAAATTCCCATCGGGTGTTATCTTGCGAGAGCAGGTGAGAAACTCGCTGATGTTCTTGAGTGCACTGGATAAACAGCCTTTTGAGCGCTGCATCCGCGCCGATGAAATTGGTGCCGCAGTCGGAGTGTAAGGTGTGAGCAACGCCGCGTCTGGATGAAAAGCGTCGATAGGCGGCAATGAATCCCTCCGTTGAGTAGTCACTGACCGCCTCGAGGTGTACTGCTGAGGTTGAGAAGCAGACAAAAACGCAAATCCAGCCTTTAGTTGTTTTGGCATCTCTTCCTTTCCATGTTTTGACGGTGAGCGGCCCCGCGTAGTCCACACCTGTGTGAGTGAACGGTCGTACCTGCGTAACCCGAGAGAGAGGTAGTTGGCCCATCAATTGATGAGCACGGATCCCCCTCTGCCGAGCACACGTGACACACCGCAGAATGTGGGACTTGACAGGGGCCCTCCCGCCTAGAATCCAGTATTGTTGTCGGATGTGCGACAGCGTGCCTCCATGTAGCGTCCGTTGATGCGCGTGAGCGATGATAAGTGACGACAGCTGAGAGTGACGAGGCAAGATTACAGGGTGTGTCGTATCGAATGCGAGAGCTGCGTGAGCGAGTCGTCCGCCGACGCGAATAACTCCTTGAGCGTCGATGTACGCAGTCAATCTGTTGAATGCGTGTGCCTTCGGCAACGGGGAGTCTGCCTGTAATGCCTTGAGCTCGTGCAAGAAGTACGTTGCTTGAGTGGCCTGAATCCAGAAGAGCCTCGCTTTCTCCAAGGTCTCTGGAGAGACCTGTAGCTGACAGGCCATGAGTCGTGGACTTTCCTCAACCGTGAGACGAATCTGAAACAGAGAGCTGTAATCCTCAATAGTTTAGTGAGGTTTGAGTACCTGTAGATGAGGTCCCATTGATATTCAGCCTTTGGCGTAACCGTCAATAGCGAAACGCCTGGGCGAGCTTCTGTAGCACTCATCTCGTCAGAGAGTGCTGGTTGCGACGGCCATGAGTCTGAATTGATTATCCATGGTGGTCCCGTCCACCAGAGTGCGTGGTTTTGAAGTTGTGTGGTCGTGAGGCCTCGTGATGCGCAATCAGCCGGGTTGGAAGTTCCAGGTATGTATCTCCAGTGAGCAGCTGGAGTGAGTTCTTGAATTTGAGCCACCCGGTTCCTGACAAAATCCTTCCAGCGTGATACATGAGATCTGATCCACGAAAGTGTCACTAGAGAGTCCGTCCACATATGCGTTGCCGTAACGTCCATGTTCAAAGTGGCTTTGACGTATTGCATGAGTCGAGAGAGCAGTAAAGCAGCCGTGAGTTCCAGTCGCGGGATGAA